GACAGCAACTTGTCTGTTCCCCTTCCCCCAATTCCCCAGCACTGTTCCCATCCCCCAATTCCCCAATAAAATCTTAAAAAAAAAAAAGGTATAAAAATTTCTGTCTTCCCAGAAAGTTCTTTTATGCTTTACAGTCTATCTCTAACTCCTCTCTCACCTGAGGCATCCACCCACTGATCTGATTTTTATCTCTAGGCCAGTTTTGCCTGTTCTAAAATTTTATCTAAACAGAATCATACAAGTATACTCTTGCACCCAGCTTCTTTTGCTCAACATAATGTCCATGTTAGTCACCTGTGTTGCTATATGCATTGGTAGTTTGTTGCTTTTTATTGCCAAGTATTATTCCATTGCATGAATTTATCTGTTGACAGACATTTGGGTTCTTTTCAGTTTTTAGCTATTATGAATAAAGCGATGAATGTCCATGTATAATTCTTGTGTGGACAGACGCCTTTGTTTTGGGTAAATTACTATAAGTGGAATTACTGAGTCATATGGTAAAAATATAGTAAACTTGTTAAGAAACTGACAGTTTTCCAAAGTTTTCCATTTTCTATTCCCACCAGAATGTGAGTTCCAGTTGTTCCACATCCTCACCAACACTGGGTATTATGTCTTTGTTTTATTTTAGCCATTCTAATGATGTAAAATGGTATCTCATTATAGTTTTAATTTGCATTTCTCTGATGACTAATGAAGATGAGCATCTTTTCATGGTGCCTATTCATGTATCTTCTTCTGTGAAGCCTCTATTCAAGTCTTTTGCCCATTTTTAAAGTTAGGTTGTTTACCTTCTTCTTGAGATATGAGAGTTATTATTGAACTATGGGTTCCTTACATGTCTTATATACAAATTCTTTGTCTGATATATTACAAGTATTTTCTCCCTGTCATCGGTTTGCCATTTTTATGGTGTCCTTTGAAGCAGTTTTTATTTTTACAAAGTCCAATTTAACAAATTTTTTAATTTCATTATTTGTGCTTGTCTTCTAAGATATCTTTGCCTATCCCAAGGTTGCGAAGGTTTTCTCCTAGAAATTTTATAGTTGTACTTTGTTGGTTTAGGGTTGTGCTCCATTTTGAAATAAGTTTTATATGTGACATGAAAGATCATTTCATTTACTTCCATATGAGTATTCAGTTGTTCCAACAACATTTATTGAAAAGACTATCCTTTCCCCATGGAATCACATTGGCACCTTTGTGGAAATCGCAAATGACCATAGATATGTAGGTCTACTTTTGACTATTTTATTCCCTTGATTTATAGCTCTATCTTTGCACTAATATCACACTCTCTTGATTACTATAGGTTTACAGTACATCTTTAAATCAGGTAGTCCTATAACTTGGCTAGTTAGCTTTTTTTTTTTTTAAGATTTTATTGGGGAATTGGGGGAGGGGAACAGCATTGGGGAATTGGGAAAGCGGAACAGACAAGTTGCTGTCCTTTTATTCTTCAGTCTAGTTGTGGAGGACGTTGCTTCACTGGCCCATGTTGGTATCATCGTGCTCTTCCTGGGTGAGGCAGATCAGTCGCTGGCCTCTGGACGGCCGCTCACAGCGGCTCTTGGCAGCTCACACTGGCTGCAGGCCGCTCACGCTGGCTGCCGGCCACACACAGTAGCTTATGACAGCCCACTGCAGCTTCACTGCAGCCTATGCTGTTGCCAGCGACTCACGGCAGCCCAGCTCCAGGTCAAGCTGTTGTTCACCATCTTAGCTGTAGAGGGCAGTGTCACTAGCCCTTGTGTGGGATCCGAACCAGGGCCCTGCTGCTCAGAGCTGGAGTCCCAAACCAGCTCTTAACCAATGTGCCACTCGGCCAGCCCTAGTTAGCTTCTTTTTATTTCCATATAAATTTTAGAATCAGCTTAGAAACTTTTACGGAAAAGCCTGCTGGGGTTTGAGTTGAGACTGCCTTGAATCTGTAAAAGCTGGGTGCCAAGGACTCCAAGAAATTAAGGAATGAGAAACAGTCTTAAGAGAATAAAGCTCTAAATACCAATTTCATGTAAACAGAACTCTGAACAGGACTGCACCCATAAACACAGGCATCTTATATAATGTGGCCTAACCTCTGTAATCTTACCTTATAAGTAGGCAGAATGTAAACTCTAAAGTAACACTGAGAGAAGAGAAAAGTGATCTGTGTTATCTGTTGTGAGGTAAGGAAAATACATGCAATGGCAAAACGCAAGTACGCTATATAAGAAACGGATGGGGCTTTCTATTAGGGCTCTGGTCATTTGAAAGCTGTGGGGGTCATCAATGAGGTAAGATTATTAACATCCAAATTTGAGAAAGTAAATTAAAGCACCCAATGTTCAGGGAATCTTTTGAGGCTCTCTTAGTAGGAGGGGGAAAAAATAGAATTCAATCTAAATAAACGCCACAGTAATAACAGAAGCTATAATAGTTTCGAGAAGACAGGGAAAAAAAGCAAACATTAAATACTCTTGGAAAATGTGATTCAGATAAAACCTGGTTGAGGATTTGTAAAGGTATGCAAGTGTGCAAAAATAAATGGTTGAATACTATGATGATAATTAGTATGAGAGTATATTATGATAAAATCTTATAAATTTGAGAAAGTTGCAGTTATTTTGATAAGGATTGAAACAATTTAATTTGTTTTTCCCAGAAAACTAGTATTTCAGATGGTCCACCAAACAGTATATATGTTTTGTCAGGGAATGTTTAAAATTAAAAATGGAGAATATAGTTTTTAAAGAACGAAATTTTAAGAATCTCATGCTCTACCGACTGAACTAGAAGGGTGCAGCTGAAGAACGAAATTTTAGTTTTGCTTATTTTCTCTATTGTTTTTCTACTTTCTATTTCATCAATTTATAAATAATCTTTATTATTTTCTTTCTTCTGCTTGCTTTGGGTTTAGTTTGCTCTTGTTTTTCCAGTCTTTAGTAGAAGGGTAAGTTATTGATTTGAAGCTGTTCTTTTTTTAATAAAGGCATTTAAATGTGCAGAATATCATTTTTAAAGCACCCATTTTACAACTGTTTTACTAATTCTGTATCACTCGGCATTTAATTATTATTTAATGCTAAGCAACAATGAGAGTACATGAACTTTGGTAGCTTAGTTTTAAGTGATATGCATAAAACATGTAATTTCTAATCTAAACATATCACTAATTCGCACTGATCATTTCCCTCTGATTAATCTAAATTAATGATGCATTTCTGTACTGCTGCTACATTACTAAGAAGTTTAAAGCTGAGACTTGAACTACATGAAATATAGGTTTCATTTCCAGTTTGATGTGGAAGTGTCTTGTTGCAATTTTGTGCCTAATGAGTAATTTTAGAAAATGCAGTAGAGTTACAGCTCCAATTGGTTTGCTAAACACTTTCCTGAAAGAAAAAAAATAATTTAGTTCAGTTGAGTAAAAAAAAATGGGTTCAGGAAATTAATATGGATAATTTCCAATTTGATTCATGCTTCAGTTCAAGTTCTCAGTGTAACATTACAAGCAAGTAGGCCAGAGCTCTGTTAGGAATTCATCACTATGTGTTTCTAGTCTATGAAAAACATCTACCACAAAACTCCAGAAAATTTCATGAAACCAAAGATAAATATGTATTAACTACTCATTCTGTACTTAGAGCTTCCCAACATGCTACTCCATTATTTTTCTCTGCCACATTTTTTGAATGAGCGGACTATACTTGCTACCACCATGTTATTACTCTTCCCTTTGCTAAGATAAGGCAAAGTGACTTCTGCTCTTACTGCCCTTAAAAATACCTCATGACTTCAAAAAATCCAAGAGCTGGAAGGATCCTTGGGATTTCAAATGGTCAGTTAGCCTCTACTGAACAACAGGAAGAGTTCAATTCCTATAAGGAAGGGGTTGGCAAACTTTTGAGACGGAACGTACCCAAAGAGCCCCATGTGGCTCACGAGCCGCAGTTTGCCGACCCCTGCTCTAAGGAGTACCTATTCCATTTTTGAAAATCTGTTAGAAAGTTCTTTATTCTGATTCAAAACCCATTAGCATCCACCCACTAATTATTTCTAAATCTGCCTTCTGAAATTCCACAGAAAAGTTTAATTCTTCCTCATGACAGCTCTTTAATTATTTCAGAACATAATAAAATTGGAGAAAAGTGCTTATGAAAGGCACTTTCCTGGTTTTCCAATTACCTCAATCCTTTTCTCTACTTTTCTACCTATACTTTATTTTCACTTTTTAATTTATTCCTTGAAGCTCAGTCCTTGATTCTGCTTGATTCTCTATATTCGTTTCCTAAGAGAATAAATCCTTTCTATTTTGAAACCTTTATTTGGCTGACTCATCTGTGTCAACCTTGCACCCAAACTACAGTCTTATATTTTCACTTGATTCCTTGGGTATTATACTCTCAACCTGAAATAAAACATGATTAAAAAAAAACAATCTGACCATCTGACCCCCAATTTTGGTAATGATACTTACAATTTTCCCAGTCGCCTACACTGAAAACCCTGAGATCATCAATAGCTCTTTCCTTCTTCCCTCCTACATGAAATTGGTTGAAACCTGCTAATCCTTTCTTTGAAATAAGGTCTCCGTTATCTCACACCCACATTACTGTTGCCATGGCTCCCCAAATACTCTGGGGGAGGGGGGGCTCTCCTTTTACATTTCCCCCATCCCATCGTTTCAACATACAGCCATAAGATTCGTTTTCCTAAATAACAGATTTCAGAATAATTTCCCAATTCAGTTTTGCTTGATGGCTGCCCAATGCCCAAAGTGTAAAATCTAAACTTCTCAACATAACCAAAATTTTAAGTCTCTTGATTAGCTCAACTCTTGAGAATCCAACCTAATCTCTTTAATTCTCTCTACTGCAAACATCTCCCTCATGGTCTCTGTAATGTACAGTGTTCATTATGGGATTCATAAACATCTTTTTAAACTTTAAAAAATGTATGAAATAGAACACAATACAGAAGAGTGTGTGAAACATAAATGTACAGCATAATGCCTCTACCTATTAGGTGCCAGTAGTACCTCCAGATGTGACAACCAAAAATTGTCTCCACACATTGCCAAATGTCCCTTGGGAGGCGAAATCGCTCCTCCTTCAGAGCCATTGCTCCAATTCATTCACTTTCATTACTCATTCATGGTGTTGCATTCTATGACTATATCACACTTTTCCAATCTACTAATACAAATAACGCTGTTAGGAACATTCTTATAAAAGTCTCCAGAAACATATGCACATGCATTTATATCTCTAGAATGGGAATTGCTGGGTCATTCGTTATGCACATCTTTAACTTTATTTGATAATGCTAACCCTCTTCTCAAAGAGGTTGTACCATAGTGAGTTTTCATGTTGTAATATATCCTCCCCAAAAGACTGTATTACTCAAAATATTAAGAGACAGAAGCAACTATAGAGATTTTCTACTTCCCAACCATTCATTACAAGAATCCTTGTACTTGTCCTTGTCCCCCAGCCTTCAGCTCCTCCTTTCCTTCTTTTCGACCCTTGTCACAACTAACTTTCATCTCCCAACTGAAGGAAGTCCTTTCTTTTGGAAAATAAGTGTTCTCTCCTATTGCGCTCCCCTTTCTCTAAACTCGAGTGGCATTTATGGACTGTACTACTCATTTCTTGTTAATCACATACTCCCCTAAAATGTAAGATCTTAGGCAGCACAGAAGCTGCCTTTTATTTCTTCTTTGGTACGCCTCTCTGGCCTAGCAATCTAGCTAGCTCGTTTATATGAACACATATAAATGTTCAGTAAGTACACCTTGAATGAATGAGAGTAAACAAGCTTCTGGCAAGCTCCTGAGCTTGAGAGGAACAGAGATTTAAAAGAAAGTAACAACAACAACAAAAAAAAAAAACAAAAAAAAGAAAGAAAAAAAGAAACAAACAAACAAACAAAACAGCCAGAAAACCTCAATTCTAGTTTTGGCTCTCAATACTGACTACAGTGTGAACTTGGGCAAGTGATTTCCCCTCTCTGGGCATTCGTTTCTTCATCTGCAAAACTGGGTTTGAACAAATGACCTCAGAGGTCCCTTCCAGCGCTAGAATTCAGGAAAAAGATTGAACTTCATCAAATCAAACTTGAGGATGAGACCAGGGGTAGGGGGGGCGGTGTCTGCTGTCGACTGGGTTGATGGTAGTGGGGTTTCTTTTGTTGTCCCCTGGAGCTAAAGAGAAGTAAGGGGACGGCTGATGTCAGCCACACGGGCGGGGACGAGAGGGAACGGACCGCCGCAGGCCGCAGCCGCTGTCAAGTGCCTACATACAGCTACCGGGTCACTGGAACAGGCAGAGCCGCTGAGTCCGCCCCGCGCCCGGCCTCACAAGGAAGGCCGGCCGGCGGTCTGAGAAGCCGCAGCGGCCGGCCACCGGCCAAGGGAGCGGGAAGTTCTCGGCGCCCACTCGCTCACCCGGTTGGGATATTCCTTCTCCACACAGTCCCCACACATCGCGACGCCGTTAACAGCGAAGGTCCTGCTGTGCTTCCGGGAAGACGACACCTCGCGAGAGCTAAGGGAAGGCTGCCGCATGCGCCCCAAGTACTCAACCTGGAGGATTTAGTCTCGGAAACCATCGAAGTCTCCGCCCCTTAGCAACTGTTGTTAGAGAAGGGCCTCGTCTCTTAGGCAACAGCGGTAGGCACTTGGGAAACCTTCCGAGAAAGAGGAAGGGACGGGGACTCTATGGCAGGAAGGGGAAAGGGACCTTGAACTGAGCAAAGTTCTAACAGGCGCCTTCGTCTAAGTCTAGGCTGACAGAAAGGCAAGTCACAATACACAACAAAGGTTCCTCACGTTCAGCTTTGTTTCAGCCTCTCAGCTGCCTTGCCTTATTCCACATTAAAGCTAAAATTATAATTTCAGTATTTTTTTCCTTAACTATTTCTTAGGGCAGTGAGAATGATAGAGCAGATCTCAGCAGCTGAATAAGCAATAACTCAAGTGTTTGGGAAGAGGCACTTAGAGCTTTGCACAGTCTCCTAAAAGAACACTTAAAATGTTAATAATAAATGACCATCCCAGAGTCCTCTGGAGAACATAGCGATGGGAAGCGCATTTCATTCTGTATCACGGGAGCACCTCAGTGGCAGGCATAAAGTATGTAAATAGAAAACGGGCAGGTCAGTTATCCCTGCATCATTTCCCAATCCTGTGGAGCTCAAAATGTGTGTGACTGGTGCCCTGATTCTTCCTTAATAGCCATTTCAATGCAAGCCAGTTTAATTGGGTTTGCTAATATGGGAATTCTGTCTCCACTGAAGTGCTGAAATTGAAATATCTTTAATATTTCAACCTTTGGTAAGGATCTGCAACAGTCACCAAAAGTCACAGGTGTACTAAGAAGCAGTGCAGGAATTAGTGCCATCAGAGTTTACTCTATTCTTGTAATAACTATAATGCCTTCCACTAGTATGACATTTTCAGCCTTTCAGTGTCCTCATTTCAGTTTCTAATTTTATGCTTTTACAACCCTGTAAGATTAGTAATGTGAACCCCAAGAAAAAATATATCTGCCAAGAAGGGCTTCTTGTGGTTAACTGGGACCACATTCATAAGCAGAGTCTAGCATCCATTGCTGACAGCATCCTCTGACACACCCAGCACTTCAGGGAAAAGCCACAGACTGGCCTCCCAGCCTCCTGCACTGTGCTCCTGCCACCTGAGTCAACCCTTACAAGAGAGTTGTTTTGTTTTGTTTTGTTTTGTTATTTTTAAAGATTTTTATTGGGGAATTGGGGGAAGGGGAACAGCGCTGGGGAATTGGGGGAAGGGGAACAGCAAGTTGCTGTCCTTTTGTTCTTCAGTCTAGTTGTGGAGGACGTTGCTTCACTGGCCCAAGTTGGCACCATCATTGCGCTCTTCCCGGGCGAGGCAGGTCAGTCGCTGGCCTCTGGACGGCCGCTCACTGCGGCTGCTGGCCGCTCACGCTGGCTGCTGGCCGCTCACGCTGGCTGCTGGCTATACACGGTAGCCCATGGCAACCCTGCTGCAGCAGGGGCTGCAGCCTATGCCATCGCCTCAGGGCAGCCCAGCTCCAGGTTGAGCTGTTGGTCAGCAAGGGCAGTGTCACGGGCCCTCATATGTGGGATCCGAACCAGGGCCCTCTGGCGTCCCAAGCCAGCTCTTAACCAATGCGCCACTCAGCCGGCCCACAAGAGAGTTTTTGATACGCTATTTCCTCAGTGGACTGAGACCTGCCTCTTCTGGAACTGTGTAGCTATTTCCTCATTTACATCTATACTCACCAATCAGAGCTGCTCCATGACAACCAATCAAAATGTGTGATTCCAACCAATCAGGACAGTGCCATTTGGATTCCTCAACTGCATAAAAATGGACTAATTGGAAACCAGGGTGGGAACTTTCTATATAAAAAGCGGACTCCCCTTATTCTCAGTGGAGCACAGTTTTGGTTTCCACCAGAGGCTGTATTTCTCTGGTTTGCAAACTGTTCACCTCAATAAAGCCTCTTCTTTTCTGCACCTCAGACTGGGAACTTTTGTTGACAGTAAGAAAAGTATGTCTCCCCTTTTCAATGAGGAAACCAAGAAAATAAGTTGTTAAGGGTCTTGTCTATGGTAACGAAACTACTCAGTAGTCAGTCAGGACTAGGATCTGTTCCTACCCTGGGCTCAACTTCTTTTTAACAGTAGCTAGTAGCCACATAATAGCTATGAAGCTCTTTTAATGTGGCAAATCTGAAATGAGATGTCTTGTAAATACATCCTGGACAGTAGATTTAGGATACTTAGAAAAAAAGTGAAATATTTTATTAGCAATTTTTACATTGACAACATGTTGAAATAATTGGGCTAAATAAAAATATGTTATTAAAATTAATTTTACCTGTTTTTTTTAATATGGCTACTAGGAAATTTTAAATTACAGATGTAACTTGCATTATATTTCTACTGGACAGGGTTGGTCTATACAATTCTTTTCTTGATTCATTTTTAAATGCATCCTCTGTTTTTAAAGCCTGATGCTGACTTTTAATGTTACTAACCACTGTATTTATTTTATTAAATTCTATAGACATTTGTTGAGTGCTTTTGTTGTGCAAGGAACTGTGTGGACAACAGGAAGATGAAAAAGACATTGTCCTTTCCTACTCTCCAGATATTCACAATAGAATCTGAGAGATAAAATGAGCACAGTACCTATAATTAGTGGAAGCTTATGGTTTTAGAGCACCACTGCCAGATGGGGGACTGAGAAAGAGGAATTTGGGCCTTAAAGAATGTATAGGATTTCAAAAAGCGGAGAGTTTAGCATGGGAATTTCAAGTGAACCATACCAACGAGTTTGAATTTTATCCTGCAGTTGATAGGGAGCCACTAAAAGTCTGAGTAACACAGTGTTATCAGAATTGTGGCTTAGGAAGATTGTTTTAACAGCATTTTATTGGGACAGATTGAAACTGGAGGAAATTGGACATGCAAAAGGCAGACACTAACATGAACCACAAGGGGGAGATGTATAGCTTTCTATACATCACTAATAGAGAACATGCATGATTTTTTTTTAATTAAATAAATAAATAAAATTACACTGCAGTCAAAGATCTCAATGGCTAGGTTCCTTGGTATGAACTGATTTTATGTTCTGAGGTATGAAAGGCAATCTACATATTTATGAGCATCTTTCTACCTTCCCAGAGTGATATGATACCTTGTAATTAAAATGAGCAAGTGAATAAATAGGTCATCTTATTCATAGTCACAAAATTTCAAGAGCTAATGGCTATCCACCCAATGAAGTTCCCCATTCAAATCTAATGAAGTTCAAGGAAGAGAGTCAGCAAATGAGACTATCAGGAGGAGGTAGATAGGACCAGAAATTAAAGTGTAATTATGGTAATAGGAATATGAAAGTCTCTGAGGTTGACAGGTGGAAGAAAGGAAAATGGAGGTTACAAAGCAGGGGATTAGCACCTAAAAGGAAGGACCGGGCCGGCCGAGTGGCGTGTTAGTTAAGAGCTGGCTTGGGACGCCAGAGGGCCCCGGTTCGGATCCCACATATGAGGGCCAGTGACACTGCCCTCTACAACTAAGATGCTGAATAACAGCTCAGCCTGGAGCTGGGCTGACAGGCGACCGCGTAGGCTGCAGCCACTGCTGCAGTGGGTTGCCATGGGCTACCGTGTGTAGCCAGCAGCCAGCGTGAGTGGCCGTCCAGAAGCCGTAGACTGATCTGCCTCACCCGGGAAGAGCGCAATGATGGTGCCAACTTGGGCCAGTGAAGCAAAGTTCTCCACAACTAGACTGAAGAACAAAAGGACAGCAACTTGTCTGTTCCCCTTCCCCCAATTCCCCAGCACTGTTCCCATCCCCTAATGCCCCAATAAAAACCTTTTTAAAAAAAAAGGAAGGACCAAGTAGTGGTATAAAATAAAAAAAAGTTACAAAATATCTATTTTCTCCTAGGTAATTATGTAAAATAAAGTTTATAGGAACCATTTAAGGATTACCTTCTAATAGAATGTCCTCTTAATAAACATGTGATATCAATAATGTATGTCAAATATACCTACATGTTGCAGTATATGCATGAAACTATCTCTTGGTGAAAGGAATTCATTTCTGTAACTCTAAATGGTAAAGTGGTTCAATTACATATGCTAAACTACATCCCCAGGACAAGATTAAAGTTTTCCCCTAAGAATGCAGTTTAAATCTTTTTCTAACATCCCCTTTCTAGTACCTTTTTTCTTTTGCCTTTTGTGAAGCCCAAAGCAAAGAGGCTGGAAGGGTGAAATGCTGAGCCTAAAGGGTTTAAAGGGGTGAGGAAATACCCCAGAGCCTTTATGGTATTACTATCAGACCACTTTCACAGGTGGAGGGAAGTTCATCTCCAAGCATAGAGCTCATCTGCTTGGTGAAGGTATGTGTCATTCTTTCCATTATCTCAGGGGAAATGTGACATAGGAGCAATTGTCTTTACTGCATATCACCTGCCTGGGATGAATGAATTAGCAGCAATTCTGGGTTAACACTGTGAACACAGCTGAGCCTAGCTGAGGGGGTTAGGACCACTTTTTTTTTTTTTTTTTTAGTTCACTGGCCAAGTTGGACTTTCTTCCCTTTGCAGTTCTCATAGCTATTCAGATTGTAAACTCCAGCTTTTAAACACTTGGCATTTAAAAGCAAGGGAATAGTTACTGTTTCCTCTTGATTCTGTTTTCTTCAGCTCGCCTCGCTTTTCACATACAGATGATCATTTCCATATACAATTTTCACAACATGTGTGAAAATCTCGGATGTAGTGGCCTTGGGGGAAATATTATCTCTCAAATCTTACATACATTGGGATGAATTTAATAATCAAAAGGTAACTGGGTTTTAAATTTACTTTTATTTCTAATGTGTGCCTGAAGGATATAGTAAGACTCGGAGCAGACTTTTCCCTGCCACCTGTATCAACTCTGAGAGGTGAAAGAGTATGGAATTTTCAGAGAAGCTATAGGAGTGAGGAAAGGGAAGTCAAGAGACTCCTATTTTGTCCTGGAGAGTGGCCAGCGGAGGCAAGGCTTACTTCAAGGTAATTCAGGCACAAAATCCATAGGAATCAGGAGCTTGGGTAGTTTT